AGTCTTGTTTTACACCTTGCATATTTCATCAGCACTACATCAAATTGACTGAAATGGAGAAGAACCGGAAACTGAATGACCTGCTGGATGCGCTGGACTTCAATCAAGTTGTTATCTTCGTAAAAAGTGTGAGCCGGTCTGCTGAGCTAAACAAGTTGCTTGTGGAATGCAACTTCCCATCCATTTGCATCCACTCTGGCATGTCACAGGAAGATAGGTTTGTAGCTCTTATTTTATAATGTTTTTGACGACTTGTATGTTTTAATGAGTTGTATTTTATTTTAGATTGATTGGTATGAACCATGCACCATTTATTCTAAAAGTCGGCTTTGTTTTTGATATTAATGTTATTGTGTTCTTAATGAGCTGTGTTTTACTTGAAGATTAACACGTTACAAGCTTTTCAAGGAGGGCCACAAGCGAATTCTTGTAGCCACGGATTTGGTGGGTAGGGGCATTGATATTGAACGAGTTAACATTGTCATCAACTATGACATGCCCGATTCTGCAGACACTTATCTTCACAGGGTATTTTGGATGTCTCTGAAGTGTCTTATTTTATTGTCTTCCCGACAGCTCCTAATTTCTATCTCTGATCAAATAATAGGTTGGTAGAGCCGGTAGGTTTGGCACTAAAGGTCTTGCCATCACTTTTGTTTCATCTTCATCGGATTCAGATGTGCTCAATCAGGTATGCATACTGCTCTTCTAACTCTGTCCTTTCATATATGTATGTATGTATGTATGTATGTGTGTGTGTGTATCATATTTTCTGAAATACATGTCTGCTTGCGGATTTCAGGTTCAGGAAAGGTTTGAAGTTGATATTAAAGAGCTTCCTGAGCAGATCGACACTTCAACATATAGTACGTGCTGTTACTTGCCTTGTTTCTTAATTTTGTCTATGCACCCCCAATGCTTATCAATTATCATCCCACCCCAGTTTCTAAATGAACAACACTTTGTTTCCAAACAAAACTACATAAACTATCTGATCGTTTTTTTTAAATCCATTAGAGTTTTTTGGGACACTCATAACCCTCGCAACTTTTTCAATGTCTGTTGTGGAATACAATTTTGTACTCATCTTTGAATATTTCAACTTCATGATTCTGACTCTGAATATGACTCTTTTGGTTCTCAAATTGTGGCAGTCACAGTTGAATGGCCAAAAGTGTCAAATTACATAACAGTTGAAGGACTAAAATTGGGAAATTTTACAAGAATGGAACTAAAAGTGTCACTGTCACAATAGTTGAAAGATTAGAAGTAGTAATCCTGAAGTCAGACGACCAGAGTCTTTGACACAATTGTTGAATGGACTAGTAGTCCCAATAACTCTAAGCTGTTCATAGTGTATGTTCAATATCACCACCATAAATTGAATGATATCTAAAACCTGGGTCCCCCACTTTAGAAGGTAAAGTAATGCCATCAGATTACAGATGAAACGAGACATTTCACGAATAAAGTTAGTTTACAACTTTGGTTTAAGGACTGTTATTGCTGTTATGTGGTATTGCTTATAAAAAATTACTTTGAAGTTTTGCATTTCTCTAATCTTCCTTATGACTGCATTCACAAAGTAGATCTTTTATGCTTTTAACTATTCCAGAGTAACTCATTTTCCCTAGGATTTTCATCAGTTACTGACTGGTTGAAATATCCTATGTCATGATGTTGTTTGTTAGTTTTTATGTTTCTGAAAATTAACACAAATATGTCGTGTCCATATCCTGTCGTGTCCATTTCTTGTGTGCCTTGTCAAATAGTATCCGTGCTCAGTTCTTTTGTTCCAAAACTGTTGCAATGCAACATCCATTAGTATTATGTTACATGTGAAATGCTATGAAAATATTTGTTGTCATTGCAACAAGCTTGCTAATGAGTCTCACTGATGTGTTTGCAGTGCCATCTTAAAGACTAGAGTGCTTTCCTGGATGTGATATTTGATGACAGGGTAGTCAACTGTTGTAACAATTGGTGCAGGCAAGCCTGTTTCCATCAATGCTGTCAAATGTTTTGGACGATTTATTAAGATGTATTGGGTGATTACTTCCCATAGTTTTTAGATTATATTCATCACCAGTTTTTCTCTACATTATGAGACATTAGGTGTTGAGACTTGTTAATTAATGTGTTGTCTTTCTTTGCTTAATCTTTTTGACGTCTGAGAATCTTGCTGGTAGTATTCATGTGGCATAGTTTTTTCATCACTCTAAATTTCTTGTCTAGATTTGGTTTAATTGCACTTGTGCTATTCTGCTATTTCATATTCGTATTATGTTGTGTACTGTTATAGAAACATTTATTTGTCTACAATCCTGCTGTGAAGTTAGAATTTGATGAGGATGCTTCATCTGTGGCCTTGCATGGATTAGACGCTGTGTGCCTGTGTTGCATACTTGCATTTTGTTTCATTTTAAGTTTTGTCAGCCACTATTTTATACTCCATCCCCAATTAACATTCTTCGATTTCCTCTTCAGTCCGTCCCTAAATGTTTGTCTTGTTTTCTGTTTTGGCAATAATGTGGCTCATATCAATTCATCGTTTTCTATTCAAATTCCAACCACAGGTTTTTACCTTTTTCAACCACTTTCAAATAAGACCTTTATTATGGGATACAGCCAGTAGGGGTGGCTTGGGATTGGTTTGACCAGCATGATACTTGGACTGGACCACCATTGTGTGGGACCGCCGTGGACCGGGTTGACCGGGACTAGTGGTGGACCGGTTCAGGTTCGGGCCCGGTTCGGGCCTGGGCCCGGCCGGGCCTCGGTTCAGAAAAAGGAGGCCCGAGCCCGAACCGGTGGTGGGCGGTTCCGGTTCCGGTTCCGGGCCAGAACTGGGCCGGGCCGGGCCACCCGGAATGTTTTTTTCTTCTTCTTCTCTTATTTAACCCCCTACCCCTCCCTCTCCACCCCAAACCACCTCAAATGGCCCAAAATACCTAATCCAACCCAAAACTTAAAAAAATTTCAAAAAAAAAAAAATTAAATTCCGGCCCGAACCGGGCCCGGCCCGGCCCGGCCGGTTCACTAAACTGGAGGCCCGGGCCCGGACCGGTATACCACCGGGCCAGGAGGCCTGAACCGGAACCGAACTGGTTCACCGGGCCGGTCCGGGCCCGCACAGTAGCGGGCCGGTCTGGTTCCGGGCCGGTTGGCCCGGCCCGAGTCCATCCCTAACTGGGACTGAGCCTTTGACCCGTACTGGTGTGGATTTGGGGGTGGACTTGGTTCTGGCCGGTCTGGGATTGGTCCGGGCTCAATTTATTTATTTTTTTTGGTTTTTTTGAATGGTTTGGGTATGAGGTGGGTTGGGCTGGGTGGTTTTGGGGTGTTTGGGGTGGGGTGGTAAGAATAAATAAGAAAAAAGGCATTACCTGACGGTTCGGGGCCTCCATTTCCCAAACCTCAACCCACCCTAAGCCTAAGTGCCTGACCCGGAGGCCGGAGTTGGTCCCGATCCGGACCAGGTCTTGACCTGGTCTTGGGACATAGCTGGGCTGGTTCGGGGCCTCCATTTCCCAAACCTCAACCCACCCTAAGCCTAAGTGCCTGACCCGGAGGCCGGAGTTGGTCCCGATCCGGACCATGTCTTTAACTAAATAACACGGAATGTATACCTCAGCTATCCATATACAGTTTATTTTAGTTCCAATTTTTTAGTTGTGTTAAATTGCTTCAACCATTCCACATTTCCACATTTCATGTTTTTATTTCAGTCATATATTGTTCATATTTCTTCTTTAAATAAATACATAAAAATCGTATATCTTTTGTTTTATAGTTTTGGTTGAACTTTTAACAAACTTGATTATAATTTTGTTTTCATTCTTGTTTTTTTTAGATCAAAAAACAATTTTTACGTTTATGTTTGGACTGCGTCCCTAAAGTATATATCACGGAATATATACAGTGCATTTTAATTTAGAGTTCAATGGCTTTCACTTTACATGAAAATCGTATGTCTTCTCTGTACTTTATTGTTTGAACTTTTAACAAACTTAGAGGCCGTTTGGCAACACTGTTTTACCAAACACGTAATTTTTGCTTACCACGTTGAATTGTGTAATGAGTAGAAAAAGTAAGGTTGAAGTTACTTTTCTGGCTGTATTGGCTGAAGTTTTTGTAGATGACTATTTTAGCTATTTTTTATATATAATTGTTTCTTTATTATATTAATAAAATATATTTTAAAAATAATTTTTTCTTAAATCAGCCAATGCAGCCACTTCAGCCAGAACTTCATAAATTTCAGCAGAATCAGCCAAAACAGCCGATTTTGGTGCTACCAAACGGGCTCTTAATTACAATTTTCTCTCCTTTTTTACTTCTGTATTCGTCTCATTTTCGTTTATTTACGCAATTATGTGGTTAACACAGTATTCCTATTAACTCAATAAAGTTACGGACAACATCCTTAACTTTTCGTTTCCATTTATTTTCTTTTTCATCATTTTAGCTGCGATTTTTAAGCAACTACTCCGTAGATTGTTAAATTAATTTTTACAAATTGGTTTCTATACAAATTTATAATAATTACTACCTATTATGAATGTGATATCCTCTTACGTACAATATAAGTTCTATATTCTGTCTTTTGTTCTGAAACAAAACCCAGTGCACTAATTTTGTACCATCCTTGTGCCTTTGTTACACTTTTAAGTACTCTTTTTCTCCATAATAGTTTGTATCCAAACTAGCTCTCAAAGCTTCGTATGGTACCCAAACTGCCCTGTCAGCTGGAACTTGGGAGGCTGTTTCCAATGACGTTTTTTCCTCCCCAGATGATAACCCCAGAAGAAGGAGGCTATCTTCTGGTTAATAATACTAATTACACTTTGAGGAAGGGTGGTAGCCGCAAGAATGTGAGGGAGATGCTAGACAAAACATGCTTGAGAGAGTAATTTATGCCGCCAAGTAGATAACTTAAGCATTGTTTGCAAATGCTTTTCAAAAGCACTTTTGGGCTTTTTTGACAACAGAAGTCAAAACCGATGTTTGCAGCAGACCACTTCTCCGTTCATTCATCCCAGAAGCTAGAAGCAATTATTAAAATTAATCTTGGTAATTTGGTAATTCATGAGAACTAAGGGGGCATTTATATTGTTCATATTTGTTGTGTCACATTAATGCCCTCCCCTCTTTGCTTCTTGGAGTCTGACATTTTCGCAGGGGAGTTACGTGCGTGGAATCAGGCCACGGATGAAACGAATCAAGTCACAAAGGTGCAATCATAGAGGGGCATTTTTGTACATTAATAAAAACTACATCAATAATCACTTTTTTACCAAACACTCCAACTTCAACACTTTTTTACATAATCACTTTTTTTCCAAACACTATCAACTTTTTTACACAATCACTTTTCCAAACTTCATCAAAAAAAGCACTTTTTAAAAAGCAGAAGCAGTTGCAAACACTCCCTTAGAGTCAATTTTGGCAAGGAGATCGTTGCAATGAATAGCCCTCGTAATCTCATGGTGAAGCTCAATACCTAGGTATTTTAGAGGCAACCTAGTACAGTTCATGTTGAGGACATTTTCCATGCCTAGTCTCCTTCCTAAGCCAGCATGCTCCCCTTTGAAAAACGTGCTTTTGGATAAATTTACAAGCTGTCCAGAAGCATATTGATACCGCTCTAAAAAGGACATGAAGTTTGCGAGGGAACAAATATCAACAAATCTGTTGGGATTGGAAAATTCTTCTATTCAATATCAAGAACAGAATTACAATAGGAGGAACAAACTCTCACACTCAACTATTACAAAAAAAACAATCCTCACCAAGTGTGACATGAGGAAGTTGCACCCAAACTTCCATTCCCATTGCTAGAGAGGTTCCTAGCTATCTCCAAGCAACTTCCTTCCATGAAGGGATGTGGTAGTACCTCAATGTTGGATGGCTCCTTCCTAGAAGGTGTGAGATGTGTCTTGGCAACTTCCAAGAAAGAAGGTGGAAGATACCTACAAAATCATCTGCAAAGGCCAAGTGAGATAGTATCATACTTCTACCCAAGTTATAAGGGAGTATTTTACCAGCCATAACCATTTGATTGAGCCCTCATGTGAAGTAGGTGAGAAAGTGAACTTGAAATTTGTGGCAAGGTGAGAAATTTCGGACACAATAAACTGATCACTATCATGAAGAATCCCCACTTTGTAATTTGTATTCATCAGATTTCCAGCATAGCCACATTTTGTCAGAAGAAGAGCAACACATATCAGAGAAGCCAAATTGGTGCAGATAAACACACCCTTTGAACTCGTTCTTAACAATTGTTTACTCGTCTTAAGAAATTGATTTATATTTCCTCTCCTCTTAGGCATGGAATTTTCAATGCGGAACACTAGCATGATTGATATGGTTAATTTTGAGAAAACTAAGGCACTGAATTTGTGATTGATATGTCATGTATCCAACATTTTCCTGAAAGGATGAGAAGATAGAAATCATAGAAGTGATGACTGGTAGAAAACATTTGAACATTTATGATGACCGTGAAGTTCAGTTCTTGGATTGAAGAATGTAAATTTTGAGATTGACTGGATGCCACTTAGTATAGAGTATCCTAGTTTTCCCTTAATACTCCTCCTTCAGAATGACTATATTTGGTACCGATCTATTCATTAGACATGCAGCAAGTGCATTGATATAAAATTACATGGAGCCGATGTGAAGATTAAGGTAATGAGCAATTTGATTGGAGCGATAATGAGGATGCTGAAATAAACGTGAATGAAGCTACTGAAATGAAAAAAAAAAGGTTCTGAATGTGAGAATCATTACGAAGATATAAAGTCGCCAAAAATGAAAGGATGATGGACTTACCACACGGTGGTGATAACTCAGACTTGGAATTTGATAGTGATGGCAGGGATGTTTTAGCTTCAAGCGTGCAAGACATATTAAGCGAATGATGTAGGAGGAGACATGTTCATTAGTCATTTAAGTACATTTTAGGTTGTCCTAAAAGTGACACATTTCCTTTTTTGAAAAGAAATACGTGTTCAGGGGCGGATTCAGGATTTCATGTTGGGGTAGGCTGAAACATTTAAATGATATTACCCCTGTCCCGCTAAGATGGTCCCATTTTACTTTTTCGGTCCGTCCCACTAAGATTGTCCCATACCAAATTAGGCAAAATTTGTGTGGCTCCAAATTATTCTTACTTTATTCTTACTTTATCAATTCAATATCAACCACATAACTCACTTTTTATTAGTTTGTGTGTCACTCCCTCTTGTTCCATTGTTAGTGGGACGGAGGGAGTAATACATTAAAAAAATTCAAATAAGGAAAAAAAATATAAAAGTTCTCCACTAAAGTTGTTCTCGATGAGTCAACAATAGAGCCTACATCTATACTAAGAGTAGAGTCTCTTTTAATATAAAGTGTCATGAAATTTGCAAGAAAGTCATCCGCCATTTTGTTGCAGAGTGTTGTATTTAGAAGTTTCATGAGAGAGAATGACCGATCTCTATTTGATTTAGCAATAGCTAAGATCAATACAAGGCGAATCAATCTGCTCTCCATAACATATGAATTAGATCTTCTGCTCTTAGTGAACTCCTCACATAATTCAACAAGTGTAGATACTTGAAATTTTGTATTAGGAATCACATCGATCGTGAACATAGTGTTGCAGCTCAAATTCCAAAGCACGAATATCCCGACTAGTAAAATCTTCGGGATAGAACCTCCTTGCAAGAGTACAAATAATATCGGCATTGAAGGACTCATTTGAGTTTTTAGGATCCGATGAAGCACTCAAAGAAAGGAGTTTCATTGATTTATCATTAAACTGGGTCCTTAACTCCATCAATACAAAGTATATTGCCTCGTTGAAAAAATCAAAGTGATAAGGATGCTCAAATGTAGTTTGATTGGCGGACCTACATGGCTACACAGAGGCACATACAGATGTTGGCACTTGGGTCCTGGAGTGGTCGGCGACTCGGCACTCGACATCGATTGAATAGCTTTATCGAATTCGGCTGATGCAGATTCTTGCATTGCGGAAATCGCAATGTTGATGATGAAGAGTCAAAGGGCGAAGACTTGCTCGCTTCATCCCAGATGCGGGGCTATTAGCCTATTACTTTTCTTCATTTTTATTGAATTTGGGCTAGTGGGCTACATAATCAATACTACTACTAATTTTTTGAGCTTTCTATTTTTTGAGGTCCTATGCCATTGCACAGGCTGCCCCTCCCCTGGGTCGGTCCTATCGTGATGCGTATAACATTTAGATTAGATTTACTTTTAGATGACAAGATTTTGTTTTATGGGCTGAGCTGAAAATTTGGACCGGGAAATAGAAAATTTTGGGGTGGGTTATAGAAAAATTTGGAGTGGGCTGGATGGAAATATTTAAAAATACTACCTTAGAAAAAATTTAATTTTTAACTTTGCCCTGAGCTTCAGCCCACCATAGCCCTAACATAGATCCTCCCCTGTACGTGTTCCACTCCATTTCACTTTATTATAGTCAATTCTCAATCACAATTTTTAAAATTTCAATCACTTCATTAATAATTGTGTCAAATCACAACGAGGCACATAAAATGGGACGGAGGTAGTGGCCATCTCAAGGATTAAAATGAGAATTGAGGAGTTACCTGTGTGTGTTGCAAAAATGGCAAGTCGAGAATTCTTGCTTTAAGACTAACAGATTTGACCACGTCTCACTTGAAGAAAAATATTAGCAAACATAATTTAGATCAAAGAAGAATGTGGGACTATTGCAAAGCGGATTGCAAATATACATTTAGATCTATTAAGGAGGCATCTTGATTTACCAATTCAAGCGCAGAAAACCCTTTTGTTGGAAAAGCAAAGTGTGGAAGCGAGTAATATAGCACTCTATAGAGCAAAAGCTGCATCAAAGAAAATATGCTCTAGTTATTATGTTGTAGGCATCAATTTGATCCTCATACTCTTTGTAATTCCTTTTCTCTTTATAAATTGGTGAAATGTTCCCCGTCACCTCAAAACTCCTCCAAGTTTTGGACCTTACCGAATAATAACGAGTTAAAAAAATTGTCAAAAATTCACAACTTTTAAATTGTATTGTTAAAGAACCCTGAGTCAATTGCACTAGTTCAAGGATGGTCCGTTGGAGATGATCTACTCCATTTCAAGAGATATTTATGCTTAAAAAGAACAACAATAAGGGTACCTAGCTTGTTGTATACCCTTTATTGATTTGAAATGAATGTTTTCTTAAAGGGCCATTTGGAGAAATATTACTTGCAGTCATAACTATTTACCTACCACTAAATAGATATAAATTAGATAATACGAATGTACAAGTCAATAATTAAAATACATTAATGATTAGTAGATTATGTATACTTATTACTATAATGTGTAATAAAAAAGTATTATAACTAGCAGTGTGTATAAGCTTATACCTAAAATTTATTATTTACGGAGTTTTATTTTCATATTAAGTAAAACAGCTATCACCACAAGGGTACTACTACTATATATTGATATCATTGCTATTATTAGGGAAAATGTACAAATATAATCATGTAGTATGGATGTGAAAACAAATATATTCTTGTTCTAATTTTGGAGCAAATATAGCCCTTAAGTTTATGTGGAAGTGCATATATACACCACCAGCTTTTAAAAGGTGCAAAAATACCACTCATGTTCCTACAAATAAACAAATTTACCCTTATTGACTAAGATAAAATAAATTTCAAAAAACACCAAAGTAAATTATAATCCCTCCGTAACATTTATATCGTTCCACTTTCCATTTTCGTCCGTAACGTTCATATCTTCCCATTTATAAATCTACCGATTATACCTTAAATAATTTTAAAAATAATACACTATTACAACAACTTTTTTTAGACTTATCCTTCAATCCATCACACTATTTCATTATCTTCCCATCATATCTTCAATAATTTATATTCTCTTTCACTATTCTTGATCTCACCAACTTTTAAACGGAAGATATAAGTGTTACGGAGGTAGTAAATTTTAAATTGAATAATAAAAAAATAAAAAATCTACTTGTGTCCAATTCTCCCTTTTATTATTTTTTATATCACAATTTATTATTGTATGTATAAATTATTATTTCAAAAAATTATTTTTATTCTTTCGGAAAAGTGTGAACATATGTGTTGCAATGTAAAAAAATCATAAACTTTTTATATTCTTTGCACTATAAAATTACATATTTGTATGATGATAAATACTCAAAGATTACAAAATTATGAATTTAATTTTATTAAGGTTAAACAAAACCAAAGAATGTTATTTCAAAAAATGCAACAACGTGTTCGAAAACATTGCAACAAGGCTAAATTTAATATTTATGAATTTGAAGCGCTTCATTTACAACGAAAAAATAATGTTTTTTCAATTTAAAATTAAAGAGTTGATATTTTAACATAAAAATTAATCTTTATTTTTAACACTTTATTATTATTTTTTAATTTACTTTATAATTATTTTTAATGTTTTTTTATAATTTATTTTACTTAGTTAACATGAATAAGGGTACATTTGCTCCTTTATGGGAACATCAGGGGTATTTTTGCATCTTTCAAAAGTCCAGGGGTATATATGCACTTCCACATAAACTTCAGGGGTATATTTGTTCCAAAAACAGAACATGTATATATTTGTTCTTACACCCATACTACATGAGTATATTTGTAAATTATCCCTTGTTAATATCATTACTATTATTATTATTTTTTAAATTTTTTAAAAAGCAGTTCTGATCCGATTCCTCAAAAGTTGAAGAACCAAATTGCTACTTAGAACCTCCGGTTCCGAACCGTAAGACTACCCTGATTCTGGTTCGAAAACCGTCGCTTCCCGTTGAATCACAAACTGAGGATATGTCTATTGTTGAGTGTATTTTATTGATGATGCTGAAATACAGAGAAAACATTATTGTTGGAGTCTAAACACTGTTTTTATATCGACAAAGTCCATATTTAATTTTTAGACTCCGCACCACTACAAATATTCTAATCAAACGTCGTCTAAACAAACAAACAAACAAATAAATATATAAATGTATTAATGAATGAATAAATAAATAAAATTTAGTTATTAATTTTATCTATTACTTTATTTATTTATTTATTTATTTATTTATTTATTTATTTATTTATTTATTTATTTATTCATTTTTTCATATACTACCTACGTTCTTAAATAAATGCAACATATGAAATTTTACATTATTCACATGTTCTACTTTGACTACGTTTTATTTATTAATGTATGGATATATTTTTATGAAAAATTATTGTTAAATTTGTCTTATTTTAAATTTTCAATATCTATTTTTTTTTAATTTTTTTACTTATATAAATTTATATATATTAATGGTCAAAGTTGTGTATCGGTAAGTGTGAAATGTTGACTGTTGCATTTATTTAAGAACGGAGGAAGTATATATATATTTATTTTATTTTTATTTATTTATATTTCAATTTCTCATTATTTGCGTAGCTCGATTTTAAGCATCTTATCAGAACTCGAAAGTATAAAATACAATTTTTTCATAATTACATATATCCAACTACGTTTTTTATCATTATTTTTAATTGGTTTTTATTTTTAATTGAATGTCTCAAATTAAAATTTTAACATATTTTTAATTATTTGAGAAAGAAGTAATACATTCTAAGGGAACGAGTGATACACAGATTAAAATAGTACATCTGAGAACTTAAATTCTACACTATTTTTTTACCTGGTAGGTTTTTTGGGGTAGGGGCCATGGAACACTACCAATTTATTAGAAATGAAGCAATACAAAGAGTATGAGTGCCAAATTAAAGCCTACTCAGAATTAAATAACATACGAGAAACTAATAGAATCAAACTTGAGAATTTCAACAACATTTAAAATGATGAGTTTTTATTTTGACGGATATGCTCTTGTAAGCAAGATACTCAGCCGCACTGTTGATAACTTGGTGGGTAATAGTGATTGTCCAGTTGTAGCTTTTAAGCTTTCTTTTAATTGCTGAATACGAGTCCAATGTGACCAGCTAGTGCTGGATAGATATACCTGTTAGACCCTCATGAATCTCCTTGCTGTGTACATCTGGAATGATATTGATTAGGTGCAAGTCCTTGAGGGTGTTTAGAAGGTCGATGATGGCA